GTAAATATATAAGTAATTAATTGTGAATGTTAGCTTTTAAGTCAGATTTAAGAATTTTAACAAAAGCTTGACCGAAATTGTGAGCTCATTTTGATTTGGTAGATGTTTTCATACTTTGGAGCGTGTTTGTACCGAAATCGCCCGTTTTTATAGATCATGGCAATCTAAACAAATGTTTATAATATTTGTGTGAAAGTGCTCAAGTTTTGTCATAATAATAACAACCATTTTTTCTAGCCAAAAACAAAAGCATTAAACAAACGATTTTTTTTTTCAAAATTTATAATTACAAGGTTGTAAAGTGTTGGTAAGTTATAATATTTGTATGAAATGTTGATGTTAAAAAATTGCCATAAAAATGTAAAACTTAGCATATTAAAAAAAAAAACCTGGATTTTCTTTATTGCTTTCAACATTTCTTTGGGAAAATACGAGCACTGGTGGAATAGTTGCAATATCAATTGTTGTAATGGAAATTTTGCAAATCTTAAAATTGTAATTATTAGTAGCGTCGAACAACAATAACCATCAATACAAGCTCATTCATAATGACATGATACCTGTATTAAACTGAATTTTTTAACATCATTATACATAGATTAATAAAAAATCAATCAACTGCATTTTAAGCGTTGATTTTTTATTTTAGTTTAAGTTTCGGCAAATTAGTTCAAATAGTTTGTGCACATCAGCCCTGTCGAGCAAAATTAAACCGAATCTAAAATTTGCAGTAAGCAACGGGAAAGAAACCCATAATTTATAATAATATCTGGAAACCACACCGATATAAATACCTTAACATTGAAAGGGAAATGTATTATAAAGGCAAATACTGCACAGTTGTCAAGAAAAGCAGAATGGTAAATATCGGCGGAATATCGGTATGCTCATAAAATTAAGGAACAATAAGAGTAAAACACCGATTTTCATTCCATCCCTGACGTTAAGACATTGTTAATTAAAAAGTCTAACTTAACTCGTCAGTCCTATCAGTAGTATACCAATGCGCTATACCATACATTTCTAAAAAATTACAATTGCAATTCTCGAATATTTTCTGTTTTTTTATGTGTCACCAAAAATTTAGCGATTTAGGCGAGGATGACTAGAAAAGTTGAAATATGGGTGGCTATCTGTCCGTCCGTCCGTGCAAGCTGTAACTTGTGTAAAAATTGAGATATCTTGATGAAACTTAGTAAGTAAAAATGTAAGATAACCTTCCTCACTACATAAAAGTATTTTACTTGCATTCCTATGTCACAGTTTGAAAATGGACGCAATCGGACAACAACCTCGCCTAATTCCTATATAGCACAATTTTAAATTCCATTTTATTCAAGCAATTAATATAACGGGATAAATTTTTGCATTGATATTGCCTTTAGTGTATGCAGTATTATGACCAAAATTTATTCAAACCCAACAAAATCTATTAAGGCCCCTAGGTACCGCATGTAGTATAAGGTTGTCGAAAAAGTTTTGCGGTATTTTTTATTTATTTATTTTTTTATTTTATAACGGTTTGATGACTCATGCCCAGCTCTTGACCGATGCTACGGCTGCTACTATGCCGGTCTCTTTCGACCAATTCAGCGATTTTATCGCAATTTTCGA